CTCGGGCTTTTCCTCCCCAAGTTCTCCTTGCCGCCGGCCCTGTTGGCCCGTCCAGAAATTCACCCGCCGGCCATCCCTTAGGCCGACGCCCACCAACCCCCACCTCCCCCTCTCTTCCTCCTTGGAATAAAGAAATTTCTTAATTAGGAGAGGCTCACAATTAATGACAATTCAAATTCAAAATTTGAATTTGAATTAGCATTAATTACTCCTTAAATTCGTCCCTCCAATTAAGCCAATAACCATTAATTTAAATTTTAAATTTAATTTCAAATTTAAATCAATTAATCACTTAATGCTCCCAATTAATGACAATTCAAATTCAAATTTTGAATTTGAATTGTCATTAATTGTGAGCCTCTCCTAATTAGGAAACTTCTTTATTCCAAGGAGGAAGAGAGGGGGTGGTGAGGGTTGGTGGGCGTCGGCCTAAGGGATGGCCGGCAGGTTGTGAAAAGGTGGCCGGCGGGATTGTGAAGAGGTGGCCGGTGGCTTGGGTGGAGGATGGGGATGTCGACAAGGAGAAAATGAAAAGATAACGAAAAAGAATAAAACCACGAACCCGGCCGTCTCCAAGGTTGGTGGGTGATACGATTCTCCCTCTCCAAGGGATCTCAAATCACGAGCCCGGACCCATCATGCGGCTGGTGATAACTTCGATTCCTCTCATAAGAATCCCACTAACGCTCTCTCACAAGAAGAACAAATGTGGAACATAAATTTTTCATATTCATTAATCATCCCATTACAATAGATTAAGGCCTTATATATAGGCCATAACATGAGAAAATCAAAATTACAAAAATGCCCCTTGGGCCAAGACACACATAAACTATCCTAGGGGTAAAATAGGAAAATATATAAAACAAGAGCTAAAATTCAGAAAATAATACATAAATGAAAATTTAAATAATGCCCGTCGATTTACGACGCCGCCTGTGATAGATGCGCCAAATTTTCGTTCCGATGTCCGCATCAACTTCATTAAAAATTAAAGCATAATGAGTTGTCCATGCTTAAAACCTTTATAATTACAAAAATTTCTAGAATTTCATATACATAGAAAAAAAGAAAAAGAAAAAGAATTGTCATATGTCATAAATCATGCACAAAATTGATATGGAAAAGCCGCCAAAATCCCTAACATAATAGAAGTTCCATTGTATGATAGATAAAAATAACATAGAAGCAACAAAAAGCCCATTGAAATCACATAAAAGCCACAAGATCCCACATTATAGCCTCGTTCTCGCTTGAATGAACTATTTTCACCTCCAAGATAATGGAAGCTGACTATTTGCTGGAGCAAAAGAACCACATGTAGCATTGGGAAGTGACGTCAATAGGACCAAATGAAGTTGTAGAGAGGCTTGTATCACCTTTTCTAATTGCAGGAATTTTATGTTGAGGAAAACTCTAATCAATTTTGTGCAAATTCAATGATCAACAAGTATAAGGTTATTTTGTAATTAGTTTCTAATTATTTTGTAGAAAATAAAGGTAAGTTTTAAGATGGCCAGTTGTCTTTTTTAGCTATGGATCATTTATAGTTATTATGACAACTGTAGAACAATGTTTGAAAAATGACATAATAAAAAAAAAAGCTATATCACAGTGATCATCAGAGCATTTGTGGCATTAAAGCTTCATCCACAAAAAAATTTTATACTAAAAAACCGTTTTAAAAAACAGCAAGAAAGTTGTTCCAAATGAAACCTAAATTCAAACTTCATAATGTGAAGCATACGCTCCATGATGCACTTTGAAGCTTGGAAAACTTCAAAACTTCAAAATTTCTAAATTTTGTGTCTGATTCGATATTTCATACCATTTAAGATACAGTGAAGGGAATTAAAAATAAAAAAAAAAACCTTATATCCCTAGACCTCCCTTTGAAACTTCATCTTATTTTGGCAGCATCATTAATTTTATAATATATGGTCTTTTATCTCATCCATTGCATACTCACTTTTCCAATCAAACTTATGAATTGCCAAATATTCTTTTTCAACCCCATTCATCGAAATGCAATGCCTATTTCTTTATTGTGAATTTTCCTTCTTTCTAAGTCACATTTATACTTCTTTCTCTGGAAAGCTTTGTACCTCCGATCCATACGGCTGATTAAGCAGCTTATAGAATAAATTTAACAAAGCTATTAACACCATTATAGAGCCTATGATGCCCATTTATATTTAGATTTTCAAAATATAGCTCTCTTCTTCCACAGCTTATGGCAAAGAAATCAGGCAATGCTCGCAGAATTAGAAGGCTCTAAACGCCATCAATCTGAAATTTGATGTTAATTTTTAGATGGAATATTATCATTTTACTCTTTTTTTTTTCTTCATAGAACTTTCAACATTTTTACTGGAAATTCCGAGCAAATTTCATTATCCTTGAATATCAAGTTCTGTTACTGAGGAATTATTATTTTTGTTGATTTTTTTAAGCAGGAGGCAAGCCAGAATTCCGTTTCTCTTAAGCAGGTAATGCATCGCCTACGGGATACATCCCCTACAGATTCACACAAGGATATTTCACCACATTTATTTTTCATCTGTCTATTGCATTTGGCCAATGAACACACCTTAATGCTAAATCATCACCCTGACTTCGATGACGTAGACATTATAGTTCCAGACCCAGCTTTTGTAAAATGAAATACTAATGCAAATGCATCAGGTTCTTTAAACCTACTACAATCCAGAAAAAGAAAAAAAAAATGTGTTGCAGACTACTTTTGGTTTTGGAAAGAATGATATGAATTGAATTTGTATATTGTAGTCTCTCAAGCTAACATTTCTGTCCGCAATTTAATGCAATGATTTCTTTAAATTTTGTGAGCTGCCATCGATGGCAATAGAAGAAAAAATTGATGGAATGAATTTCTTAATTTGCGAACGAAAGAATACAATAAATATATTGCACAAATGAATGATTCTGTAGAGTCAAAGTATAAGCACTTGAAGAAGAAAGAGATGAATGATGTCTCATTATATCAACTCTTTAGAAATACCAGGACTTTCGAAAATATGCCACGTCACTAAGAGTTGTAATTACTGGTTCTCTTTATTTGGGTATTCCCTTGGTCCAAATATAGTTGATCCAATTCTCACATTGGTGCTGCCCATTTCAATCTGCAGAAAATCAGAATATTTTGTTAATTTGTGCTCATATGCTACTCTCATAGTCCTCTGGTGGTTCACATCTGAATCTTTAATCTCAGGGTCTATTTGAGGGAGCTACAATTATTTGTAAAAATAAATATAGAATTATCATAATAAAAAATCTATATTTTAAGAGATTGCTATTTTCAATCTGCAGACATTAAAGTATGTTATTCTGTGCTCATATGCTCCTATCCTAGTAGGTCTAGTGACCAACATCCAGCTTAAGCAACATTCATCTCACTTTTGCATAGAAGTATTGTAAGAAAAATCTATATTTTTTTAAAGCTATAATTAATACAAAAACTGACAATATTTTTCACAAAATTACTGTGCTCTAAAAATTTTGGCGATAAAAAAGTTGCATTTTATAATAAAAATTTCAAATTTGATGAAAAAGTTACAGGAAAATAAAAATGTGCAGCAATGTGAAAATAAAATAAAATAAAGTGGTGAAGATATTTTTGTATCAAAATATCTTAAGGTTGTGGTTTTATGCGTGGGAATATGAGCTCCAGGAAATGAAAATACAAATGTTGAAAAGTTTAAATGAACAGATAGATATATAAGAAATTAACAAATTATTGATAACTCATTATTTATTCCTTAACTTAAATCCAATAAGAGATTAAAAGTTAGGTTTAGCAAAGTGTTCTACTCACAGCTTTCTCAAAGTCACCAGACATGCCCATGGAAAGTTCACATTGGCCATCAGGAATTCCAAGCTCTTCGCAAATTTCATCCTTGCAACAAGACAATACCTACTTCCCCAGATTCATGCAAACAAAATCATTAGAAGAATGGTATAAAATAATCCACTATTTGAAGAGATCACCTGGAAATTTTCAGGAGTTGAGGTGTAGTCAGGCCGCCCGATGGTCATTAGTCCAGAAAATACAAGATTTGGGCAATTTAGTTTCACATGCTTGGCCAAAGCTACACAATCTGAAGGTTGTACACCAGATTTAGCTGCACGTTATGCCCAGAAAAAAATCAGTTGCCAAATAACTTACTTTGGCGAATATCAAAAAGAAACAATTAAAGCCAACATCCTCATCTATAACAAGTTTCATTCACCCGCCTGCTTCTTGTCCCCACATATATCATTTAGGCTTCGTTTGATTGGAAGTTTTTGGTGCTTATTCCGTTTTAAAATGACAAATTCATTTCTTCTTTCACTGTTTGGTTCGTCAAATCAAGTTCCCAATAACTCCTTTTGTTTCATTTTTCTTCTGTTTTGAGAAAACTTTTTATATATGCTTCTCCGTTAAAAAACTCTATTTTCTGAACCAATATTTCTTAAAACTGTCTTTTACAAAAGTAAAAAAAAAAAAAAAAACAAACGAAGCCTAAGCCGTGATCGCTAGGTTCCTTGTGTGTGCTCTTTTTCCTTCAATGTGACATTCCATGCTCGTGCTTGGGCACATTCTTCGCTCGCTGCAGCCTCATCTGCGTGGGCTCTTGGTCTCATTGCTTGTTGGCTAGCTCGTGTGTGCTTCTCTCCTTAGTGAGCCTCCTTTCCTCCACTTTCTCTCCCAACTCTTGCCAAGCCTTCCTCATTGGCGGTTGTGTCAAACTACGTTGGGTCTCCTTGATCTATGTAGCCAATCTTGCCAGTCCTCCTGTGATATTGCTATTGGTGTATGTCATTTCCCTATATATTTTTTTCAACATAATTCATGTTCTCCTCAACACGAGAAGCACTCAACTTTTCATGGCAAACCTACGCTTATTTTTACTAAAGCTAATATTTCTCAACTAGCTAGTACACACAATCTTTCTCTATTACGAGCAAATTTTCTTTGCAACCCAATCTGGAGATTATGCACAACGTCATGGCAAACTTGCTTTTGGTGATATTTCTAAGCTAGCTAGCTAGTCCACTCTTTATCATGTGGGATTGATTAAAGGTAGAATTTGAAGGCATATTGTCTTATTACTCTTGCAAATTTTTTTAGCATAATTATTTTGAATATTTAAAGGTTTATTTGAAACAAAAAATAAATAAAAAATCCAAGTACAAGGGGAGCATGCAAATGATCAAATTCTTCCTTCAAATGTGATAGTTGCAACTCTTACTAGGGGTGTCAATATTCGATCCGAGACAAAGCCCGACTCAAAACTAGCATTAAAAATTTAGGTTTGGGTCAACTCCCGTAAGATTCGGGTTGGGTTTGGGCCGACTTGAAGGCTTTAGAAATTTAATCCTCTTTAGCAAATAATTTTGATTTGTTTTTATAGCAATTTTCACATCTCCTTAACACAAGCAGCCATCTGCTTTTCTTGGCAAACTTGCACCTATTTTTACTAAAGCTGATATTTCTGACCTAGCTAGTCCGCCATCTTTCTCTAGTGTTGGCAAATTTGCTTTTGGGTGACCCAATTTCTAGATTATTTGTAAATTTGTGACAATTAAACTTGGTTTGTAGCTTTAGAAGTAGATTGCACTAAACTTTTTTTTTCACGGTGAACATATTATATGAATGGCTATCGAAAGCATATAATAAATTGGTCTCCATGCATTGAATCATCCTAGGAGCCACCTATCACTCTCGCATGGGTTGCTTTTCTAAGCCTCTTCAATCAATCCACCTTATTCTCTTTTGGATCTATTTTTGATAAATATTTACATGTTATCATTCCTCTAAAGGTGTGAATTAGTTCCTCGTGTTGAGGCATAGATAGGAGGTGAAATTTGAAGGTATATTTTTCTATAGTTCTCAGAAAAATTTTCAACACAACTACTTTGAATGTTTCAATGCACATTTAGAACTGGGAAGAACAAAAGTCCATGCATCAAGGGAGTATAAAGATGATTAGATTCTATCTTCAAATATGATAGTTGCAGCTCTTATTAGAGGCCATCAATATTTTAGGCCCGATACGAGAAACCAACTCAAAATCGACATGAAAAAAATTCAAATTTCAATCAACCAATGCAAGATTCGACTGGGGGTTGGGGTAAATTAAGTTACTAAAAAAAAGTGTTGGGATAGGGTTATGTAGAGTTTGAGTAAGCTGAAAAAAATGATTTAACCATTTGATTATTTTCTTTAATGAAAAACTTATTAAATTCTAACTTCTATTTTTCTTTTTCTTTTTTTAATTGGCTTGCCCAATTTGGATAATTGTGTTCATTTCAAGATGGGTTAAATATAACCCATCGGAGTTTAAATATTATTCATGATGTGTTGAGTTGGTTTTGGGTTTGGTTGAGTTAGGTTCGAGCTGAAATTTTTGATTTGTTTAGAAAATGTCTTGGGTTAGTGACTTAGTGTTGATTGTACTTGTGCTAAGTCATTTTAGGGTGAACCCAAACCCAATATGTAAACTCGAATTGATATCCTTAGCACCTATTATTTTAGGCCAGGCTTGCACACAAATTTTGGAATTAACTCTACATCTTTTCATGGTAACTAAGCCTTCTGTGCCTACCCTTGTTAGCCCCAACGTATGATCAGCTCCTTATTTACATGCATGAACATTGATCTTGATCCTCCTAATATGTAAGATCTTCATGTTTTTCCTTCTATTGAAGACATCAATGATCATATTTCAGAGTAGCCTAATAATTTAGATAGGATTCTTTAGAGTATTCTTGCTTTGGTGGACATGAGGTTATAAATTATGTTCAATAAGCAGGTAAAGAAAAAAAAAAATCATCATTTCCTAAGTTTCACTAAGCTTCATGCAAGGCACTGCAAATGAGGGTTACCTCAAATTTCCTATTGAAGGATGCTTTCTCCTATTTCTTATATTATCTTTAATTTTATTTTGTGATTTTTAATTTTCAATTGACAATTCTTCGTTGTTGCACTTTGTTGTACTACTTTCATTAACTGCTTATACAATTATGCTTACAAAAATGAAACAATTATACTTTTTACAGTTCAATTCCTCTCTATCATGATAATTGAAGGAATCTACTGATAAAAAAATTCAATTGTGCTCAAATCATTTAATCATACACTTAAAAACGATAGTTTGAAGTTGTGGAGTCTAATTTTCCCTAGAAGAAAATGAGCTTAACAACGTTGGCCATTGGACAAAAAAACAACAACGTTGGCCATTGGTTGAGATATTTTTCTTTATAGTGGGGGGTGTTGTCTTATGTTTGTACAAGAGGAATTAGGACTGTAATTCCCTGTACTCAAATCATAATGAAATCTACAACGATAACGATAGGACACAATTATCAATTGAGTGAAACTGTATAAAATTCTTCGAGTGCTTTTGCGCTTTGATCTTTTGTTGACTTTCTTTGTTAGTTTTCACTCTCTATTGAAATTAGATTTCACCTATTTACCCCAACATGTTTCTTTTTTACCATTAAATTAGACAAGAATGTGATTTCAATTTTCAACAAATTATCATGCAAATTATAGCAGCCATTATGAATTGTAATACTGACATTCTTCACCGCTAGTATTAACTTGGACCAGAACCTTGAGAGGTTTCCTTCCCAAATTAGCAACAATTCGATCAAGATGATTGGCAATCTGCGAAAAAACAAAGCACCAGAGTCACATTCCAGAAGATTATTGAACTCATAGAGAGAAAACCCTACAGACAAACATAAAGCTCAAGAGTGAGAAACATAAGAAGACAGTAAGCTATAGCTATTGCTTTAACTTAGACTTTATTTGGGACAGCTTTCTTATTACTTTCTAAAGCAGCTTTCTTGTAAAAAAAATTTATTTTAAATTTTTTTTTATACCAAAAAACTGCTTTAAAAAATAGTAAGAGAGTTGTATCAAACAAAACCCTAATAATGGATCTTGCTACTAAAAGAAAAGCAGTTTCAAATGAACTGAAATATTTATTTGATTATTCACATGTAAACTGGCTAATATATCAACTTCTCTCTTATGTCTTATAAAGGCGAAAGTTGTTGGGGGGGGCGGGGGTGTTGATATGAGTATAGGATAAAGTAATGGCATTAAACTATTTATTAGAGGTCCTAAAACTGTTTTGGATGAAAATTTAGAAATAATAACCTCTGCCATCTAAATAAATTCAATAGATCTAAGGAGTATTTTTTTCTTTAAATAGAGGGAAATACATTTAACCTGGCACGAGAGGTTTGGATGTAACATTAGAAGTTATACATTTTGCATTTGGAATTCAAATAGGATACTCTCTAAACGTAATAAGCTTCCAATAAGTCACAACCAGGGAGAGCTATTTCGAGACGGATCAGATTGGTTCCCCAGAGAGGAAAGTATTGGCGGAGAAGGAGGACTAAAGGTGGGGAAGGAAGCGTCTGTGGAAACCTTCACGAGCGGAAACCTTCACGAGCAATCGTCATTTTTTTTATGGTTTTTCCGCTTATTACAGCAGCTCTTTCCACACCTCCAGATATCTGGTGTCAAATCGTCGCCCGTTTCCATACGCAATAAGCTACCAATAACAAACATTTCAAAATGATCAAAAGTCAAGAAGAAAGGCTGCTATCTCAGAATTTAAAATAAGGAGGAAAATAGCCACAGGTTACAAGTAATATTACACCGGAAGAGAAAAAGGCTAATGATGGTGATGTTATATCGAGATCATGTCATGTAATCCTGCCCAAAAATTTTACTGAAGATTAAAAAAAACCTGTTAAGGAAATGTTTCATGAAGAACCTATGCTGAAATAAATCGACTATAGCATCCAGTTTTCACCATTAACTATATCTCATCATCAGCACAAATATGCATAGTTCTAGAAGTTTCCTACCTTGAAAAATCTGGCTTGCATTCTTTAACAAGAAAGAAAGAAGCAAATCATATTCAGCTTTAGATATCTGGAGTTCTTAAACAGTAAACACAGCTCTTCTTAGAGGGAGGTGCCATTCTAAGATTTATTAGCATAGCTTTTCACTACCACTGAAATACTCTGTCAATAACAAACTCCACACCGCATCACCACTCACTCCTAACAAATCATAGCTTTTCACTACCACTGAATCACATAAAGAAAGCAGCCCTATACTCCACTATATCACCTTCAATCATACCTTATGTTCTTCATCTGGAAGGCTGCTTTGACATTTGGTGTACCCTCGAACAGCGGCTCCAAGCATCCAATCAATCTAGAGTTATTCAATTGAAAAATGAGTTATATAATATCTCCATGCGAAATCTCTCAATGGCATAGTATCTCACAGCAATCAAAACCTTAGTCGACAATATCCCCGCAGTCGGTTCGAATGTGGACTCATAAGACATCATCCTGTATATACTCAATGGATTACCACCTACATATCAAGCTTTCAAGACCGCGATTCGTACCAAAAGAGAGCCACTCAGTCTTGACGAACTCTATTCCTATCTTCTAACTAAGGAGATCAATTTAGCTGCAGAATCATCCTGCGACCATCCTTCAGCTGAGCCCAATACGACATTATACGCTTCTCGTGGCCGTGGACGTCATGGCAGAGGCAGGTTCACTAACAATCCTAATACAGGTGGTTGTTCCAACTCCCCGAACATACATCAAATTTGTACCAAACGGGGTCACACCGCATTGCAATTCTGGCATTTTATGAATGCCAACTATACTCCACCTTCACAGTCGATCTCCCCCAAAGCGCTTGTCGCAGACTCTTCACCTTCTTCCTAGGACTGGTATATTGATTCATTGATTAAGGAGCCTCATCACATCTCATTCATTCCTTGGATAACATTCCGTAGCCGAACTCCTACCACGACGTGGACAACATCACTATTGGCAATGAAGAAAACCTTCCGATAGCACACTCTGGTTCATGCCTCTTACCCACTCCAAATCATAAGTTATCACTTTCTCAAATCTACCATGTTCCAAATCTTTCTCATAATTTGTTATCGGTTTCTAACCTCACTAACGATAACAATGTCTCCATTGTTTTCTCTCCCTCCGGCTTTTCTATCAAGGATCTAAAGACTCAAGAAATCCTTCTACATGACCCATGTCACAATGGTCTGTACATAGTTAAACTTCCTCCCCGTCATCACTCCTACATCCGCGCTCTCAGATACATCTTCTTCCTCACTCTGGTGGCACAATTGACTTGGTCATCCACACAGTCAAGTTCTTGCTGTCATCTCCACACAAAACAGAGACTTACATATTACCATGTCTGTTTATGACTATTTTGTTTATAAGACTTCTAAAATCCATAAGTTAGCTTTCTATCTTTCTAAAACTTCTGCATCATTTCCTTTAGCACTACTTCATCTAGATGTATGGGTTCCATCCCCAACTCTTTCCTCTCAAGGCTATAGATACTATCTTATTATCATTGACGACTATTCTCGTTTTACCTGGATTTTCATGATACGTGCTAAATCCGAAGTCACTCAAATCATAATTCAATTCAAGACATTTATTGAAAACCAAATACCTTACAAACTTAAATGTCTAAGAATGGATGGTAGCACTGAATTTATAAATTTTGAGCTCCATTCATTTCTTCAGGATCATGGTATACACCAGCAAATTTCATGTCCCTATACCCCAGAGCAAAATGGGATAGCTGAGCGCAAAACAGGCACATCATTGAAACAACCCGGACATTGTTACACACAGCCAATCTTCCCTACCATTTTTGGCATAATGCAGCTCTCACGGTTGTGCACCTCATTAACCGCATGCCCTCAGTGACCCTACAACATAAATCTCCAATTCAGCTCCTCTACAATCAAAAGCCCTATTACTCATACCTCAAGACATTCGGATGTGCTTGCTACCCATGACTGCCACCTTCACAACACCACAAGCTTGCCCCACGAGCTCCACAATATCTCTTCCTTGGTTATTATGATTCATATAAAGGTTACAAATACCTTAACCTGTCCACCAACAAAATAATCATTTCCAAGCATATTATTTTTGAAGAAGACTCATTTCCCTTCTCCAAATCAAACTCCTTACCGTCAACTACTATATCACCCCAACCACCAGCTGTCAACCCGTCCCTTCTCATTCACATATCAACTCTGTCTTCCACCTCCACCAATACTACTATTATACCATCTCAGTCAACATCACTCTACCAACTCTTCCACGTCTCAGCTATCACCCACTCCATCCATCATCCCCCCATCTCCTCCACCTACTTACACTGTTCAAGCCCATCATCCCATGATAAATTGACTTCAAATGGATTCCCTCAAACCGAGACCAATATTCAATCTGCTCCACAAACTCCAACTCAATAAACCCATCTCCAATTCTGATCCTACTACCTATTCGGAGGCTGCTAAATCTCCTCATTGGCAAGAAGCAATGGCACTCGAATTTGTAGCCTTACAACAACAAGGGACATGGAAACTGGTTTCCTTTCCTACCAACTTGGGTGTCGTTGGACTTACCGCATCAAATATCACTTGAATGGTACTATCACTCGCTACAAAGCTAGATTAGTGGCTCAAGGTCATCATCAAGAACACGGTACTATCATGACACTTTTAGTCCCGTAACCAAAATGCCGACCATTCAAGTATTTCTAACCATAGCTCTACATTACAAATGACAAGTGCATCAAATGGGTATAGCCAATGCCTTTCTCCACGGAGACATACATGAAACAGTCTACATGTCCCAACCTAAAGGCTTCGAGGATAGTCTCCATCCCAACAATGTATGTATCTTGCAAAATGCCATCTATGGCCTAAAGCAAGCTCCAAGACAATGGTTTAATACATTTTCCACATACCTTCTTTCTCTAGGTTTCCACCATAGTTAATCTTATCGCTCTCTACTTACACTTCTCAAAGAACATCCAAACCTACCTTCTAATCTACGTCGATGATATAATGCTAACTGGCAACAATCCTGCGGCTGTCTCTCAGTTCATTGCACAAATCAGCCAAAAGTTCACAATGAAATATCAAATATCTGGGAATGGCTCATAAATTCCTTGGTATTAACATTCACACCCATTCCAGCTCACACTTCCTCTCACAAGCTCACTATGCCAATTCCATACTTCAACAGGCTGGTCTAACCTACTGCAAACCTATATCCAACCCGAACTCCACCAAACCAACTATAACCACATTCTTTGATCCTATTGTCAACAACCCTCTCATCTACAAACAACTTACTAGATCACTTCAATACCTCACTATTACCAGACCTGACATTACCTATTCGGTTAATGTTCTATGCCAACACATGCATGCTCCACAACAACACTTTCATCATTTAAAAAGGTTGCTACATTACATCCAGGGAACGTCACACTTCAATCTTCCCAAATTTTCTGACCAGCTCCAGCTAATATCCATGACAGATGCTGACTAGCAAGCGATCCACTCACCAGGCGGTCCACATCAGGCTACTGCTCTTTCTTAGGATCAACTCTCATCTTCTGGAGTGTTAAGAAACAACATACCATAGCACCATCCTCGACAGAAGCCGAGTACAGAGCAATTGCAGCTGCTACATAAGACATCCTTTGGCTTCGATGGTTACTCAACGATTTCAACATTCCTACAGATACACCGACCACACTCAACTGCGACAACATGT